GTAGTAGTTGTGGGAGTGGTACTAGTACTGTTGATTTTCACAGTAAAAATATGGGTCGGGGTTGTGGTCGTTACACCGCTCGATGATGTGGTATATGCGCTGGGTGCCGCCGGGGGCGATTTTTTCCTCAATCCAAGACCCAACCCGAGCCCGAGAATCAAGATCAATAGCAATACCGCCGCTGCTACTATCCCTACTACCTTCCATCGCTTCATCAAAAACTCCTTCAAACTTCCACATCGCTCAACAATTTCTGCTCGAATTGCTGCAGTCCGTATCGCGGATTCTTCTCCCGATGACCAATGTGAAAGAAATTTCGTTGCGTTTGACATCTGACTGAATATCGGCTTTTTATGAAATGTATTTTAAGGATTGCAACGGATGACGCTAAAAGAATGATGGGGCGATTAAAAAATAACGCAGTTCAAAGTTTATCCATATGAACAAGTCAGCGTATTGCAATGAAGAGGTTATGAAAAAAGTATTATTCGAAACATGTCAAAATTTTTTTCGTTGAACATCCGAAGTTCGACAATTGTTGAAATTATCCCATTTTGGTGCGAAATTTTTCTCTCGTTTAATAGATCGTGGAAATTTGGTGAATTTTCACTTCGATCCAATAAAATTCACTTCGACACATCATTTTTTGACTATCACAGGTCAAATTCGCCTATTAATTTCCTTAGCCAACGTCTAAAAGATGTCGAACGTAACGAATTAAAAGCAGTTGGATGGATTCACGCAATGATTTGAAAAAGAATGTTATTTTCGGGGACAAATCACAATTGGAATGTAACTGCTAAAAAAACCAGGTCAAGAATGAGCGCACTGAATTCTGCTCGTGAGCACCTAATACAATGTGCTCGACTTATGAGATATACTCATGGAGTCGTTCTATAAGGACAATAACGAAACAACCAATGAAGTACACAATCAGAGTTTTGAACTCCTTAAATGATAACGTTTCAAGATGAGGTGTGGTGCTGATAAGAAGTTTACAGATATGGCGATTGATTTTTTAGCAAAATATCGACGAGTTGATAACAACTATGGCTGACTCGGTAAGAAAATGCAGTTCAATTGTATGGAACTGCAAATCGGAAACCATCCATATTTCGGATCTTTGAAACTTTACAATAATCAGCTATGAAACAATAAATGGAAGTTGTGATTGAAGTCCTAAAAAATTCTTCGAAACTGTGAAACATAATTCCACAGTTCATGGAATTTTGTTAGAATGTATGTTTTGCTTACGTGTATATTTCAAGATACCGCATTCGGAGGGTCATTCCAAGGATTTTCTAACTTTTTCGTACATTATGTTCGGGTAATAAAATATTTATGCACCGATTAGCAAATACTTTTCCCATTCAGATACAAAAAAAATGTTGGCCTGATAAAAACGAAGTGTCCGTGTTACAATGTGATGAGGTCGTCACGTGTCATGCATTTCATATTAATTGACTGGTAGTCATGAACAAATTGAAGAAGAAAAATTGTTTCAGTACAAGTTGATCTTATAAAAAAATGCACTTTACAATCATTCAGGAATGCTCCTCCATCCTATGACTAATAGCATGTAGCAATGAAGTTGCGATTTTTTGTGAATAAAAAGTCAGCTCATTAACCCAAAAATGTCAGCCAAAAGAGCGTGACGAAGTTCTGCAGCCTTTCATTTTTATCAGAAAAGCAACGACTGAATAATATCATAATAGTTCTACTCGAGGATGTTTCCAATTATAGAAATGAGGCGGAATAAATAATGATTTTTATCTGGATTATAACATGTTCACATTTTCAAGTGGATTTCAAAGGTTAAAATTTTTGGCGTTCAACGAATTGTAAAATCCAAGAATTTCTCCGTTTGTTTGAATCTATATGTGCTCATTGAATCGCAAATTTCCATGTCGATGATCCTTCTTTTGAAAAATTCGATGCTAACTTCGTTCTCCTTCACAAAGCCACATTATTGGATGCAAATAGTTAAGTGAGCTCTAGGGAGCCTTCGCCAGTCGATGATCCGATGCTGAGTTCTCAAGTACGGTTCCCAACCCTTTGATCATACGAATATTGAATGTATTGGTCCGTTTATTTATTCATAATTTATTGCATTCAATTTGACAATTTTATTTACAGTGGATTCGAAAATAGAATGAATTATTTACTTACCTACTCTTTGACGCTATTGAAGATTATCTTTCAGTCTTGATAAAAAATTGAGATCAAAAGTTTACGATCGAAAAATCATTCTGTACAACATAGTTGATGAATGATTGATTGTTTTCGAAAAGATTCTATAAATAAACTGAACAGAAGAGTTTATCGTTCAATGAGGCGAACGTTGGTTGATAGTGAAAAAACGCATTTGTAGATCTCACAACAATCTTACAGTGTACATTGGGTCTCTAGAACTCAAACTGAGAAACGTAAACCCAAAAGGCAATCAGTCAAGTCGTTCATACTCTTTGATACGGCTTCGTTCAACCAAGAATGTTGCACATGTCGCCGAGAAGATTATTGTTGAGAAAAACGAGAGAAGCATCAGCAACCATACAACCACGTCGACATTCTGTAGACTGGCTGTAATCACATTTATCAGCTTTCACATGCGAGAAACATTGATCTTTGTCATAGCAAAAGAAATTTTCAAAAAGGAAAACAATTTTAGTTTCAGTCGTTGCAAGTAAACACAATAAAGCTTCTCATGGCTCTCGAAAAATTCAATCCTCCGACATCGAAAGCGTGCATATTTTCTAACGGTTCAGTTCTCCATATGTTCTTCGATGAAATTAGCTCCGTCTCATCTGCTCATAATAAGAATTCACTGACAGTCAACGCTGGATATTAATCTTGCAGTACACTCACGTTTCGTGTCATTCGGCTGGACTGCCACTACTGACGAATCGAGTTCTAGCGATCGAGTACGAAATTGTTTTTTGATCAGTCCCCGTGAATTATCCTTCGTCGATAAGTTCTTACTTCTGGCATCAGTGCAGTATTTGTCAGGTGATGGTATACCTACTAGATCAGCAGTTGTGCTTGACTGAAGCAATGCTTCATCCTTAAGTGCTTTTCGACCGTGTCCAGCCCTGAACTTTGCAAGCGAAATATAATATTAACGCTGAAACTTGACCGAACAGTTCTTAAAAAACGACAAATTTTGATCTGTCGCACATGCGCTCTAGGGAATTTTGATTGCATTAATTCACTGAAATTACGATTTTGTTCGAAGTACAGCAAATTGTATGGATGAAAGTGTTCGTCAGACTATTAAGAGGACAGTTTAGCAATTCTTCGATTGATTCGAATTAAATGATGATCAGCAAGCGTCTAGGCTCTTAAAGATGTATAACCGATCCATGAAGAAAGCAAATGATTTCCAAGCACGTTGTCACCTTCGAATTGTTTGATTCCAAAATGCAATCTCGTGTGCATGATATCCGTATTTCATACCCGGCATATTATTTTGCTCGTCGAAATCGATGGAAAAATAATTCAGTTGATGCAATCGTAGCGCACTCCAGTGCATATGAGGCGGTGATGGATCACCCTTATTGATGAAATCAATGAGCAGTTGTGAGAATTTCAGGCGAATTATCTCGTCTTTTTCGGTGAAGTTTCCCAAATGTATACCAACAATATAAACCTGGAATGTGATTGTTTTCAATCGACTCGAGTGTATTGTTGAGATAGACAGTGGCATTTTTAGTTAGCATTACTCTGCAGATTAACTGATTTTTAGGTGTAAATATTTTTTCGAAATTTCCT